CAAGCTCGTAAGAGTCCTGGGAAGCCTGAGCAGCTTAGAGACATTGTGAGATTATGCAGTCTTTGCAAAGCATTTTAAGATTAATGCACATAATCCTTAGTGCTTTACTTCTGCAATTGCTTTTCTCTATAGTATACCAGTTGCATATTAATTTGTTTTTAAACTGACAGACTTTTTATCTAAATCTGTGTTAGTTGAACTAATTGTTGGTATTGGATATATAATGTACTTTAGATTGCCATGCTAAATCTTATGGCATTTAATAAATACCAGAGTAATATGATGTAACAACCTCACATTAATTAGATATCGAAGCTTAATCAAAGAAGGAAGAGGTTTTTCTTCAGGACAGACCTCTCTTGATCTTTGTCCTGTGTCATGTGTGGAGGACCTGAACCGTCCTGTGAAGCCGCTGCAGTCTCTGCCTGCCTCAGTCCCCGCTCTGTTATCTGAACAAGATCCCACTGACTGAGGAGACGCTGACATGGATGTTTTTATTCTGCAGTGAACAGAAGCCAAGAGAACCCTTTCTGGAATATGGGATTAGGAAACTAGATTTCAAAAATATAACCCTGTACTGTAAGAATAATAAACTTTCTAATGGTTCTATAAAAATACTGTAAACTATCTTTGGGCCAGTCAAAATATTTTCACCTTTCAGCAATTCAACAATTTTTGCAGAAGCACCTATAACTTGGGCCCTAAGATATTAGAGTTAAATGTGAACAAATTCCCAGTTCCGTGAGGCCAGGCAGGATTCCTGCTTCCGGGTGCTGTGCATGCAGAGTGCGTCTGCTCCACTTGCATGGACTCAACATTAGACTGAGATGTTTGTAAGGTTAAGGAGTCTCACTGACAGGATCCTATGATAGGAGTCCTATAGGTCCCCATAATCTCCTGACACCAGGACAATCCTGTACCACTTAGAGTTCCTATGACATCATTCTAAAGCTTTACCTGAACACCTAGTTCAGATGCTGTTTTCACCTGAGGGAAAAATAGGCTTGATATCCAAATGTGTGGATTTGAGAATTTTCAAGAGGTAATGAAGTTATAGTGATCACCTTCAAATGATCTTTTTAGGCAGTATGGGTTCCAAAATGCAAAATATAGAAATAATTGTTTTTAACTATTTTTTTACAGTTCAAGAGAATGAAATAAATCTGAATTGAGGCTACTAAAAATAGTTGTCAAACTTGGGTTTCCTAATGAAGAGTTGCTAGGTTATTAAAATAATTTCTTTTGAATGACCTTGAAGCAGAGGTAGCACCTTTAGAATTGCATGAACAGTACTAATATTCCCTCAAGTTTTTGTAAATGAAAGTGTTTTTATTGACAATTTATCACAATGAATTTATATGGATCTGTTATCCTAGTCAGTATTTTAAAATAAGATTGTACTTTTAAAAGTACAAATATTGTGTGCCTATCTGTACATGTGTTAATGAAAAAACAATTTGTCCCATCTGAAAAGGAATGACACAGGTTTGCCATCCATAAGAAAGTATCATGTAGTGAAACTCACTGCTTCAGTCAAAATCTAAATGACTTTGTAGATTTACAGAAAAGTGTTAGCACTTTCTGGCAGCACTTTCTATAACAATAATTGTGATAACAGCCTAACAAAGAATGGTTAATATTGCTCTTTAATTACCTAACATAACAATACATACTCCAGTAACATGTCATCTCATTTCTCATGTTGCATTGTGGTTTACTTGCCTCACAAATCTTTCAACTTGCTTTGAACCCTTTTCTGTCAGGCTCAGCTACTGGCTGATTGTTTGCTTGCCATACTGTTCTGATTACCACTTTTTAAAACCAACTCCTCCTGCTGTTTCTTTTACTTCATGCTGGTGCCTTAGCTGCCTTGAGGGCATTGCATGGAGCTGCTGACATTCAGTAAATCAGCCACTTGGCATTCTCCATCTTTACATCTATGTTTGTTCCAAATGTCAGCATTTCTGTGATTTAACTATTTCCCTTGGCATGGCTCTTGATTATACTATATTCAGGTTTTTTATTTATAGTAACAGTTTGGTGATTTGTTTGGGAAAAAAATCCTTTTTACAAATTTCATTTTAAAAAATTCAACTAAATTGTATTTTGTGAGCCTTCATCATAATTTATAACTACCCATTTGAAGAGTATTTTAGACTGAAAGAAAGTAACTTTCACAGTTGATTATTAGTAATGTTCACTACCTATAAATTACTGTAGACTAGAAAAAATATCCACTAATGAATGAAAATACCTGTATTTCTCAATGAATTACTCAGAAGCAACTTGAAAAATTCTGAGACATTTCTTCTGGTTATTTGTGGAGAAGGCTTTATCATCCAGGGCCTTCACTCCCAGGGAGTTTCTGAGATGCTCTTCTCTTTGGGCTCTAGTGACTCTCCAGCACGCTCTGCACATACCCCCACCCCTTGGGGAAGCTCTCACTGCCCCGCCCACAGACACCGCCCCTCTGATCAGTTCCCTCCTTTGTTTAGAGGGCTCTTTTTGGATGACTACAAGATTCCAGCTGCTAGACTGTTTTCTGACACCATTCTAGGTATCTGTTAATGCAGAGTTTGTTGTATCACATTGAGTGTAGACAGTCATAGGATTTTGGGTAAGATTTATACAGCTTGCATTCTGAAACCCATGTTTTAGGGACAGTTACCAAATTTGTCATGTTGTATGTATCATTCTTTGAAGCCTCTCTTCCACCCCACTCCCATCCCTCTTTTTCATATTCCTCACCCTACACAAACACACAAACACATGTGTGCACACACACGTGCACATCATACACACCTGAAACTCATATCACATGTTAGGGTAATCTGAGTTTCCTGGTGCTGTATACTTCCCAATGCTCAGGTAGGAAAATGGAGACAGTTGTATTCTAACATTAATTCAAAATGATTTAAAAAGTCAACTTTTTTGTTTTACCATCATTTGCTATTCTTTTACACTAGCACTAACATAAAATCTACACAATGTGTATTTGTATATAACATGAATATATCCACACATCATGCTAAAATCATTTGATCAGGGTGATGACACAAGCGCCACATTTAAAATAAACAGGAAAAGTCTCATTTGTAGGACAACCACAGGAATCAAAACAATCTCAGGAACAATGCTGCAATGTGTTCTTTTGAAGAAATTCTCTCTGAATTTAGAGAATCCTACATTTGAGCTCACACACAAACGTATAAGAAATGTAATATGTTCCAAGGTTCTATAAATGTTCACATTTCTGAGTTTGCAGTGGTTATAAATTTCAGAAAGATCAGAAGCTTAAAACATCTAGAAGCTTAAAACATCTAAAGTGCAGGCAAGAGTAAGCATGTGTTGCAATTTCACCTATTACATGGATCTGGGAAGATCCATATTTATGTGTAAGTGGGGAGCCTGCTTTTGTAGGTTTTCCATGTTTAGAGCTCACACTAGAGCCGTTCGTTTCTCTCAAGAACCTTTCTGTTCCCTGCAAGAATCTTTGCTGACCTGGCTTCTGTACAAGTATTGGTTAAGAGTCTGGCACCTGTTCGTCTGAGGTTGACATCTGGAAGCGGAGGCTCACACTGTAGTGGGGACTGGTCGGAGGTGTTGTGACCACTCACCTGAGGAGTGCTGGGGTATCATTGTTGATCTGAGCAACTCCATGTCTTTTTTCTTAAAATTTCAGACTGAAAGACAGAATGACCTGGTAGAAAATGCATGAACTTCAGAATCAGATTTGGTTTAAATTTTAGATCTCCACCTAAAACTGTGTGATTTTCCACTTATTTCTGGGAACCTCAGTTTCTTCATTTGTAAAATGCAGAGCAGTTATACGTGATAAATGGAGTAACGAATCCCAAGTGCCTGGTACTCAGTAAGGAATTAATAAATATAATTCCCTTTCTCCCACTCTACCACTAAAGAGTTTAGGAATGGAGTGAGTTACCTCCATGACAGCTTGGTTTGAATAGACAAAACCTGGCCAACCACACTTTCAGACAAAGCTTTTGAAAATCATCTGTTCTATCCCCAGTCAGACAACAAGTACCTAAAATAATTCTAAGCTTAGGGAGAGACTAAAAGAGATAGACTTCTGTGGGAACTATATTAGCTCCATGCTTTCCTGAATAATACCCAGTGATGTATATCTGATGCAATGAGATTGTACATTATTAATTTATTTTTTAAGATTCATTAACTCAGGGTGAACTTTTTCTTTCATCTCATCTTACACAAAACCCAACTGGAGATTTTATGGAGGTGATATGTAATAAAGAGTTTCATTTACAGTTGATTTTCTCTTAGTGAGAATCCTTTATTTACTCTTATGCTGCTTGGACATTTTTATCAGCTTAAACCACAAGAAAGCAACATTTTAAATGAATTAGGTTGGCCAGAGGTTACATAATGTATTGACTGTGTGAGAAGTTATGTTGTACATAATTGAGCCCAAACCTCTTCTGTCCTTTCAAAATGCACTTGGGTTAGATTATGCAGAATATGAAGTAGATGTTTATTTTTTTAATTGACTTAAAATGTTATTGAAACAATGAGAAGTTCAAAGACATGGTGAGTTATAAAACTAAGATGTCTGCTTCTTTTTTTCTTAACCCTATGCCATCTTTGAGCCATGATGGGAGCTCATAGAAACAGCCTGTGTTAGCAGATGCTCCCTTTAGCCAACCCATGCACTATGACCACATGAGGTGTACTTCTCCTTTGCCGTCTCTCTGCAACTGAATTCTAGAGATACTGAAACCCCTGAGTCATTTCGGAGTTGTGATAAACCATAACAGCAAGATTTTAGGCAATATAGCATAGAGTAAAAATATTAAATACAATACGATTTTAAAACACAAAGTAAAGTTTATCAGTAGTTGGGTATTGTTATCTTCAGAAATATTTTGAAATGATTTTCAGAGCTAGTTTAGGTTTTAGTAGTGAAAATATTTATGGAAAAATATTTGTAACTGTTTCTCTTTTTCTTTTTTTTTCAATTTCAGGGTCAGCCTGGTCCTCAGGTAAGTGAACTCTTTTCTAACAAATCAATTCCAATTTGAGATTTTTCAAGTGTGGAGGTTTTTGTAATTCTGTTTAAAGGATATAAAAAAGCCGTGAGCCAGCAATCATGACCCCACACAGTAGACCAAATATGTCCCAGGAGTAAAGCTTCGGGGCCTCTTCAGGGCCGTGTGAGCCGTGTCAGCTGTTGGACCAGATGGCAAGTTTAACAATGTACTGTCATATAAAGCAAAACTCCCAACTGATCTGAAACAGAGCCACAGGACTTTAATGTAAGACACAATGACTTAGTAGATGTCGGGTATGAGCTGGTTCACATTAGGTACTGATTAATCATGTACTAATAATGTTGTTGTAAATCCACACACACTCTGATTATGCAGACTGTGATCCTACCAGCTACTTTTGATTCATTATAGACAGATATTGAACTCGTTCTTCATTTTCAATATAAACCAACTGCTGAAGACATGATTTATAATTAAATGGGAATGCAGTCAACAGAAAATCTTTTAGTCCTAAATCATATTGAAGAAAATGAGGAAATTTTAGGAAGGGGAGGAATGTGTATAAAGATGAAAGTACAAAAAGGGAGTTGTCAGAATTAAAGAGTCAGGAAAAAAACAAGAAATTTAATATTAATACTTATTATAGTCTGTAAGAAGCTATAGAAAAGGAAATAACATTATTAATGTTTCACCCTTAACACCATAATACCTGTAACTAACACAACTATTTCTTAAGTTTCCCTTACTTCTCTTTCAACATACAAAATGCTATTTCTATCCTAGATTGTTTGATCAATAAATAATTTTCATGATACCTTTGTTAGTATCATAAATTGTCTTTTATGTACTAATTTCATATTAGATCAAAATAATATTATTTATGGTTTTTATGAGCTCTGTATATTAAGGATGTCTAACAAACAAAAACTCTATGTACTTTAATGAGAAGTTCCTTTCATACTACACTCATGAGAAAAACTTTGACATGATTAATTTATATTCATATCAAAGAATCTCTCAATATTTGTGATTTTTACTCTTATATTTTTAGTTGGTTGAAGGTAATTATTAGAGGGAAAAAAACTCATCAAAGAAAGTTGTAGCTTCTTTCCTGTTTTTGAAACTGCCACATTATACTGGGATGAAGACAAAGGAAAAGGTGCTCTTTGTGTTTTGTTTCATTTCATTTCATTTCATTTCATTTCATTTCACACATACTGGAAATGAATGGTCTGGTCTGGAAAATATTGTATATATAAAATTAGAAGAGATAAATGATTCACCTGGGGTGACACCATAAAACTGGGAGCAGAGGTCAAGTTTGTCTCTAAACCCCTCATACCCCTGTATCCCTCCAGAAAAGAGATGAGATAACAGATGATAAAAAAAAGTTAGAGTGTTAGTTTTGAGACAGGATTATACTCTTTAACATATTAAGTTTTAAAGGGACTTGTGTCTTAGCCTGCCTGTATCACCTCCCCCTACCCTAAAGCAGTTCTTAAGGTAAGGATTTGAGCATAAATAATTTATCTGGGAGATGATCCTAGGAAGCATTGTGAGGACATGGGAAAATAACAAGGAGAGCAAGAAAACCAGAAAACAGATGCATTAATGAACAGGTTATTGCTGTGGACAATAGGGGTTCAGTTCTGCTGAAGAACATATGAGAGACTGTGTAGAGCTTGCCTTAGGGTCGCCCCACTGAAGAGCAGGGAAATTGATGTATTTATCTACTAATTTACCTTCCTTCACTGTTGAGAGTTGTGCCAGGGTGTTAACTCCCTGGGACTTGTGACCTGTCCCCAGAAGGTCCAGCACGACCCAGCTGCTGGAGGAATGCCGAAAGCTGTAGGGACAGATGGGAGCTGTATTCTCGCACTGTCTTGAAGGCATCAGTGGTGTGGGTTGACACCTACACCCGCCACAACATCTAAGGACAAGTGTCCCAGCAGCAAACCAAAGAGTGGGAAGTTCAGGTATGCATGTAAACATTTGGAGATGGGATAAAAATATACCATTAAAAGCCTACTAGTTAATGAGATGTTAAAAAGAATTACTATACAAAGAACAAGGTCATAATAAATCTTGAGTGTACAGCTACAGTTAATGAGCAGAAGAAAGATGGTGAACCAGCACAGAAAGCCAAAGATGGACAGAACTGGGAACATTCTGGATCAGTGTAGCTGAGATTTAAAAGTATATCATGACATTTCAGAATACTTTTACATCACATCTTATAGTTACTGTGGCTCTTCAGAAAAATAAAGTCTACATAATGGCTTATACTTGAGAAATTTGGAAACTTTTGAGTGGATTAGTAATGGCATTTTTAAATGGTGACCTTCTCTGGTTTTCCTTCATTTTGGCCACCAGTCTGCCTCAGTGGGCACTCAAATCACACGATCCTTCAGTTCAGAATGCCTTCCTCACGTTATAGCCAGCAGAGAGCAGTGGAATTGGGAAGGAGAGGGAAGAGGGGAAATGCAAAGCTGAGAATTATCCTCGTATTGTCTAAGGCATGAAAATAGAGTTTTGTTGCTATGTCTCTCTGACCTACTTCTATGTCTACATCATTATCATAGTTTTCAAAAGAAACTTCCATTTTTGGATTTAAATTAAAGAATTATTGATGAAGTTATTCATTTAGTACTTGATTATTAACTTTGCTCTGAGCTTTTTATAAATTATCCATCAATTTATATATATGGGTCCTTTCCAACTATATTTTTATTTTTCCTGTTTACCTATAATAATATATTATTTCCCCAGCCCCTAATCTACTCTTGGCATTTTTTAAAACAAAATATGGACCTTAAATAGGTTTTTAACTCCAAGAAAAATTTTCATCTAACTAAAAATATAAATACTTAGAAATGACCTATGTAGTAGATATGATTATCAATATATACATCAGAATTATAGTATTCCATACAGATATATTTTATAATAACACCTTACCATAAATCCACTTTTTCCTTGAGTAAATTTATATAAACTATACATTAAGTTTGTTTTATATAGGTTTATAAGTTACATATAGTGAAAAAGCAATCAATATACATTTAAAATGTAAATTAGGCAATTATAATGGGTTCTTAAATGATTCAAAGTTTTCTTTTATTTGATCAAATTTCTCTTAAAGTGTCCATGTTTTGTTATTTGGATCACTAAAAGTGATTTTGTTCACATACTGTGTATATAACAAAAGAAACTTATAATTTGAGGTATGTCTTCTTTTTTTTCAACATCTTTTTGGTGACTTAAAAAGATATCTACTTGTTTCTTAAAATGTCAACTTTTTCAGTTTCCCTGACTTTATGAGACTTCTGAGCTAAAACTCTTCACAATTTATTTTCTGTTATGTGTGTATATATGAGTCAATATAACAAATCTACCTACATTTCTTCCCTGCTGATCCTGTTCCTTTCTCATCACTGCGTCTTCTTAGCACACATTGTTCACTGTGGGGAAAGGGAGGGCACAAACACTGCAAAACTTTCTCTTTAACTTCTTATCCTCTCTCCTTTTGCCCTCTAAACAAGCTTTCTCCAAATAAGTTCACTTAACTAGTCCTCAAACCCCCGTCCCCCAGTCACAACCATGTCACCAAGGGATGACCCTTAGCTATACTACATGCTTCACTGAAAATCCACACTGCCTATGACTTGTTACTATTGTGAGAGATACAATTCTAATATCTCAAATTCCAACTCAGTGGATTTTGCCATCAAGAGTAGTACCAATATGGTGTCTATTATATAATAAGAATTTTTAAAGGTATATTAGGAATAGGCTTTTGTGGAATGGGCTGGGAAAATAAACTACATCTATGTTATGATTCCTCTGAGGAGATACAATCAGATTTTCAAACAACCAACTTACAAAAATCTTGTAAATGCTTGAGTAGAGAAATTGTATATCCTTTCAAGTTTATAAAAAATTTGGGCAGAATTATAGTTGGCAACTTGTTTATGTCTGTGAGAGTTTTCTTGGATAGGGTGAATATTCCCACATCATTTATTCACAGTATTATTTCTTATACAGTGCAAAACTCTTCCTTAGAGAGTGTAACACTCAACTTTCCTTCTTTCATTTCTTTTCAGTTCTTTTCATTCATTTCACTTCTTTTCATTTCTTTAGTAAGGACTTCTGGATTAATAAGGTTTTATTTTGTAGACCAATAGTAAAAAGGAAAAATGTCTATTACATCAAAAGAAGGGAGTTCTCATTTTCCTAAAGTTAAAGACAGCTTAGATCAATTTGAATTAGATTTTTCAACAATTGTGGAGACTGCAGAACTAAATGGCAGTGAACCCTGTTGCAATGATAGAATGAAATTGAATACAAAAAAAGGCCTTGGGGAAGGGAAGTGAGTCTTTTCATTTACCTAAATGCATGAGAAAATGGTTCTTGACAAGAGAAAGGAGATGGTGAAAGGGTGTTAGAAAGAAAAAGGCAATTGTAGTAGCTGTGGTTGAGATGGGAAAAGAGGCAGGGACATGAGTGGAGAGGATGTTGTTGTGAATCCACTGAAACAAAGGAAATCAAATTCTTAGAAAAAGGGATGGGACAGAGTAAATAATATCACAGATTTGAAAAAATGAGATTTGAAAAAATGGTTGGGTTAACAGAAAAATTGACAACTGAATGTAAGGGAAGAAAGAAGGAAGAGAATTTAGAACAAAGACAGACAAGCATTTATATTTCAAACTAGAGGTAATAATTATTTGGAGGTGGGGCAAAATCAGTAACAGTCACACTGGCATTTCTTCACTAATTCATGTTATTATAATTTAATTCAATTACTCAAGTATTTATATAGCTCCTCCTGTGTACCAGGCACAATGACAATGCTGTGAAATCATGGTGCCCAAGACAGACTCAGCTCTGTTCTTTTGATAGTTCTTTTAACATGAATAGTCAGAGTATGAAGTCCTGTCAATTCTCATAGACCCACCATCTGAGGGTGCCTTTAGCTGCACCCCTAGCTC